CACACAAGTGTGTACACCTTGTCTGTGTTACCTTCTGTAAGAGTGGGAACTGTTTGCTTTCAGCACATGTGAGCATTTACATGTATGTTTAAAGGGAAGATGGGAAATGAGAGACAAGGGGGCCCGCAAGGAAAACAGTCTTCCCATTGCACTTTTATGAGCACATACTATGGTTATTTTTAGTTGCCAGACTCACTGGTTAATGAGTTGAGCAATTTTTTCAAGTAGAAGTCCCCGGCTGAAAACTGTGTGTGAACACCTTCTCCTGATTCACTGATCCCCAGGGAGTGTTCTCCAAAGCAAGTGCCTGCCCTCTGTCTATGTCTATATGAAATGTCTCTACGTCCATAACAAAGAACTCAAAGGTCCACCATCTTGGGGGTGGTGGTAAAGGTGATGATGGGAAGGGCCAGGGTGGGAAAGTAATATTGGGTTAGGAGTCACATTGAGCAAGACATTGTCGCCCATCCTGTTCAGCCACTTTCTGTGGACAGGAGCACCTCTCACCCTGAGTTCAGGGGCTCACGGACACTGTGAACCATACAAAGCCCTGAGGTCTGTATAACTCTATGGTATGTTATTTATTATAAATGGTTACCCGGACAGTTTCTGCAGATATGGAATAATACTTTCCATTTTAAAACGGTAGGAAGAGAGAGAGAGAGAGAGAAAAAAAAGGCCAAGCAAAATACCCAGCAGACACCCATTCCAGTAACAGTCCTGACCCTGTGTTCCAAAGAGACCAGGAAATCTCAGGAAGCCAAGTAGGGATGACCTGTCATGTTGAGGTGGTGGTGAGAACGGATGTGAAAAGCTGGGCGATCTTGGCCCTTTCCTGCCTCTCTGGTGGGAACGGCAGACCCAGCCCAGGAAAACATCGCACAGGGTCGCACGGGCAGCAGCTTGGGGCCGAGTGCGCCAGACAGCGCGCCCCTCCTCTGTTCCATCTATCTGTTAAAAATCCTTCTTTGGGGTACACTTCTTGGGAAGGTATGGAGACTGTTCGCAGATATTAAAGAATAAGTATGCTAAAACCACTAATTTTGTCTAACCGGGGTGATAAAGACTCCCAGTCCAGGACCTTGAGACTCTTAGTGGGAATCAAAAAATGTAGCTGGATCCACTGTTAAACTTAAAAAGAAGATGTAGCTGGATCCATGGCTCACATCATTTTTTCTCTTCACATATATTTGCACTGTTAAACCATCTCATTTCATTTACTTTTTCTACAGTCTACACGTGTGCGTATATACATATATAATATACATACACAGGCACGAAGGTATACACACGCTTTGATTCACATGTTAATTCTAAAAAATGTACCATTTATGGACATTTTCAAACATGTTTGTATGTCCCCAGTGCCCAGCCTTAGAAGTTCATGCCCACTCTTGTTTAATTGATTCTTCCCTGCCACCTTGTACTATTTTGGAACAAATCCCAGGTATTTCAGTCTATTTGATCCAGAGTGATCTTTTAAATATGAAAAAATAATTCTGTCACTCATGCTTGCTTAAAATCTTTCAGTGACGTCTCTTGGCATTTCAGATAAAGGCTGAACTCCTTCACATGGTCTCTTGTGTCCTCATCTACATCCACCATCAGCCACACGTCTGCTGGTTCAGATCAGCCACCCTGCCGCAGACTTGCTCAAATCAGCTCCTCCTCCTCCAGGTCTCCGCACGCCTGTCAGCCTAACTTCTCCGCAGCCCTTGTCCTCAGCTTAAAGGTCATCCCCTCGGGACGGCCTGCATTGGTCTGCCTGATATAGAATCTCAGAGCACCTCAGCCTTTTTTTTCTTATCAAACTGTATGTATACATGTAGTTATCTGTATAATTTCTTCTTTAAACATCTGTCTCCGCACCCCCACTGGACGGTGAATTCCAAGGGCAGGGTGATGCCTGTCTGCTTGTCTCTGTGGCCCGGCCCCTGTGCCCTGACGCGTGCCTGTCGAATGGACAGGAGGGGCCATATGTACTCGATTAGAGAGAGAGCCCCTGGAAAAAAGAGAAACCCCGTTCTCTCCAGAACAGAAACCTAACACAGCCTCATGTGCAATTTAGTACTAATAACGTTGATGACATTGGCAAATCGTTTGAGAGAGGATGTAGATGACGACACCTCTCAGTGTGTTGTGAAATTACTGTTCAGAACTTAACAATACTAGTGACTTGCTCCCGAAGGGTGCAGGCCCTTTGAAACGCTCCGTGTGCGCCACCTCGTGTGACGTGGGCCTGCAGGTGTCCTCATCGCCACCTTCCATCCCCGCGAAGCAGTGGCAGGTGCAGACTGAGGCTGGGTCTCCTGACTCGGATTAGTGTGTGCTCTCTACGGTGTGCCCCTGGGCCTCAGCCTCAGCTCCCAACCAGGGATGTGGGGGCCAAATGTTTTGAGGATCTGCCATCTCTGAAATTCTGTGTTTCTAGTAGTCACCCAGGTCTATGAACTTGTAGGTAAAGACAAGCGACTGCAATCCAAAACTTAGCAAGCATGCCCTCCCGACAGTTTTTAGGACTATGCAAGACACCATCAAATAGAGTCAACTTTTAACTTGAGAAACCCTGGAAGTCACCAAGCTCCCAGAATCCCGGGAAGAAGCCTGCAGTCTGTACTTTACAGAAAGCAGTGTGCCTTTCCTTGAGCTGGAACCGCACGACAACACGCGAGCTTGTTCAGAGTCCTTGGCTTCCCCAGCTCCTCGCACAGGTGCCTCCCGCAAGCCGCAGTCACCTGCAGGACCACTTGTTCCTGCCCAGCTAGTGCTGCTCAAAAGTCACCGCAGGCACCGGTTTCTGGCAAATCATGCTGAAAACCACGGGCCTATTTCACCACAAGTAAAACTGTAGACGCTGCAGACGTAGATGTTTACACAACCTAAAGTCATTCCTTCCTAACCTCACTGAACTCTCTTCCACCGCCACCCCTTAAACACTGGGGTGCCCCAGGCCCCATCCTCTGTCCCCTCTTACTCGTCACCCTCTCCCCTAGTCAATATCTGCTCCCACGTTCTCCTGACCATGCCAGAGTGATCAGCTCCAGCCCTACTCCTGAGTTCCAGACCCGAGCGATCAACTGCAAGGTACACATCACTGTCTGCATGTCCCCAGACCCTCAGTGTTCACACGACCTAAAGTCACCTTTCATTGCCCCCACCCTGCACCGAACACTCCAGGTCTTTGAACACGCATGCGACTTCCCACCTCTGAGGCTCTGTACGCATTCTCTTCTCTGCCTGGAATACTCTTCTCCCCCTTGTCAACCCTCCTGAACCCTTATTTGTTCCTCAACACCCAGCTAAAACGCCGCTTCCTCTGCCTTGTCCTTACGTCCCCTTCCCTGTCCTCGCCTCCAGAGAGTGCGGATCGTCTCTCCTGGCGGCAAGCTAAGTATTTGTTTACACGCGCTCATTCCTGCTGGACGCGAGCAACGGGAGAGCCCGTGTCTCCGCATTCCCAGCATCGGGCTAGAAGGAGAAGGCATCTGACAGGCAGGTGCTGAACTGAATTAAACATTCTACTTTGTCCACATATCAGTTTCATCTTCCAGGGTCGCAGACCCATCTCAGGTCAACAGAAATAATAACTATTTCTGGCACTGTGGCATTATTCAAATGCATACTCTTTAGATAATGCTATAATTTATTATCACAAATACGATATCCTACTTTATGGAAAGCTAAATTAAGTGACAGGCTCATGCTGTGTGGGTAGTAAGTACACAGCTTTCTCTGGTGGCTTATGTTTCTGGTACAGTAGGAAAGGGTCACATGAAGGAGTGATTTGGGTGCTAAAAATATGGGGCTCTTAGGTTAAAAAGATATTTATTAATAGGAAGTAGGAAAAATGGGGACTGGCCAGATGTAATGTAGCTCAGAACCCTGGACTGGGAGTCAGGAAAATCTGGATTCTGATCCCAGGGTTGTTGTTTTAATTACTAAAGGACAGATGTACGAGTCTACTTATACGAGGTACCTGGAATAGTAAAATTCATAGCAACCTAAAGCAAACTGGTGGTTGCCAGGGGCTGGGGGCAGTTAGTGTTTAAGGGGTGTGGAGTATCAGTTTTGGAAAATGAAAAAAGTTCTGGAAATGGATGGTGGTGGTTTCACAATCTTATGAATGTACTTGATGCCACTGAAGTGTACATTTAACAGTTGCTAAGATGGTGAACTTCCTTCCAGGACTGGTGCTCCTGTATGAGGAAGGCAGCGAGCTGCTCCACGGGCCTCTTCCTGAAACTCCCAGCACCAGACGCCTTTCTGAAATGGACCTGGTGTTCATCTCTACTCCCCTGGACACACAGGAGGTGGTGACACATGATTTCCGAATTCAACTGATGTGGTTACAGAACGGACCCAAATTATATGTGCTTTCTTATTATCAACATAAAGGCATCAACCCATGTTTCTTTCTCACTTGAAAATAAGGCTTCCAGTCCAGTGCTTTACTTGCACGCAAAGAAGACTTCTCCAGCATGATGTATGCTCACCGCACCTGAACCTGGGCCGGCACCTGGCATGCATAAGGATAACACGGAAGCCAAAGAGATCTACAAAGGTTTGGAAAACCTTTTCTCGCCTCCGGGCGCTAAGGGAAAGGGCCCTTGGGCCTGCTCCTTAGACATTGCCGGCAGACACGCAGCCAGTGGTGCAACACACTGGGAACGGTGGTCATGTGACCTCCAGCCCCTGGAGTGCCCTGCCTGAAGGGAGCATCCCTTCCCCCACACTGAAGCCACAAGGGCAGGAAATACTGGCTATCTGGCAAACAATGCTATCAACTGCTATCACAGTTGGCTCAGAAATAACTACTGCATAAGAGAGGAAAACAGCCCGAGAGAACTCTGGTTCTTTGATTCTACAAATGAAAACACATATCTCATGTCTCAGTTAAAGCTGGTAGCTTACTGGTGGGAGGTGTCAAAAAGACACACGAGAATCACACCTGGCAAGTGGTTTGCTGGGGGTCAGAAGCTGGCTGGGCGAGCCGAACTTACAGATTTCAGGATCCCGGTGGCGTCTTCATGGAGCCAGGTAGGGTAGACCACCTCGTCGTTCAGGATGGCCTCGAACAGATCGTCTTCGTTCTCGGCCTCGAAGGGGGCGTGGCCACAGAGCATCTCGTAGAGCAGCACACCCATCGCCCACCAGTCCACGGCGGGCCCGTACAGCATCTCCTGCAGGATCTGTGCAGAGAGGGGACAACGTGAGCAAGTGCTTCGCGTGTCTGATCAACAAACGTGTCCTTCATCACTAGGAAAATAGAATAGGAAATATCCAAGCAAGACAAAGGAGTTTCCTGTGTTTCATTCTCCCTCCAGGGCAGCGGTTCTCACCCTGTGGGTCGCAACCCCTTTGGGAGTCGAACGACCCTTTCACAGGGGTCGCCTAAGACCATCGGAAAACATATATTTCTGATGGTCTTAGGAACCCAGACACCGCCCCTCTATCCGTCTCCAGGCGGGTCCGCCCACATACAGATACGACATGAGGAACTGTATTAAAGGGTCCCGGCATTAGGAAGGTTGAGAACCACTGCTCTAGGGTGTGGCCCGTTTTCCCTGTGGTCCACTCGGAAGCCACCTTCTCACCCAGGAGATCAAACGTCTGTGGCTGCTTAGGCCACGGTAACAGCGTGTGCAGATCCAGAACAGAGAGGGTCTGGGAGCCACATCCATGTGAGAGGAAGAGGACATTGGGCTCACTCACTTGGATGGAAAAGATTCGAGAGCTTTTTTTCTTAAAAAATTTTTTTTTCTTTATTAATTTTTAGAGAGAGAAGGAGAGAGATAGAAACATCAATGAGAGAGAACTTCAACTGGCCACCTCCTGCATGCCCCCCCACTGGGGATCGGGCCCATAAGCTGGGCATGTTCCCTCACTGGGACTCGAACCAGTGACCTCTCGGTGCATGGGTTGACACTCGACCATTGAGCCACACTGGCTAGGCCGAGAGCTTTTCTTTATTCTGCTAACTGGGGCTGAGACCAAACCACTGAGTAGAGACAAGGAAGAAAATAAATAGCTGTGAGTGGAGCACACTTTGTCCTCACTCAGCTAAAGCCTAGAAGCAACTGCAAAGTTTACCTTCCAAAAATATGACTCAGTCCTGGCCAGTTTGGCTCAGCAGTTGGAGCGTTGGCCTGCGGACCAGAGAGTCCCAGGTTCGTCTCCCGGTAAGGGCATGTACCTCGGTTGCAGTTTGTCCCCAGCCCCAGTTGGGGTCCTGTAGGTGGCAACCACTCCATGTGTCTCTCTCACATCGATGTTTCTCTCTCTCTTCCCCCCTCTCTCCCTTCCACTCTATCTGAAAATAAATGCAAAAATGTCCTTGGGTGAGGATAAAATAAAATAAAAAAATCTTGACTCAAATTCTTATTGAGAGGAACTGAGGACATGTTCAGCCATTCAGCCAATGAGCCATAACGGAGTCTGGAGGCATCAGCTTTCAACGCTGCCCACAGAGCCGCCGCACACAAAAGCAACCGGTGGCATTTCTGACCAGGTTACTGTCGAGCTCAGATTTCCAAAGCACTCACCTCTGGCGCAATGTAGTCGGGCGTGCCACAGAAGGTTGCCGTGGTGACGCCGTTACAGATCCCTTCCTTGCACATTCCGAAGTCGGCCAGTTTACAGTGGCCCTCATGGTCCAACAGCACATTGTCCAGCTTCAGGTCTCTGAAAGAAACAAGCAGCAGCTGGAGGTAGGGCCCCACACCACCCCCCTGGACAAGCTGGTTCACGACACGGGTGGCAGCCCACAGAGTGGCCATGCACATACACACCAAAAAGAACAAACTTCTTTGGGTTAGTTATCTCAGTAAAAAAAATTTAGATCAACTCACAAAACTGGCCTCATGGTCCCTGGATGATGGTTCCACATGAATGGGCTAGCCACATATAAAAAGTAGGCTGCCCTTTCGACACCGAGGGCAGAATGTAGCTTTTCCAGGCTTCCCACTTACCTTGTACCCATAAGACACCCCTCGATCCCATCCTTCCACCTGGTATCTGTCTCTGCCCACTGGAGTTCACTTAGTGACCGTCCATAGAGCAAGTGGCCACTGTGTGCCAGGGACTGCGACAGGAATCAAGAGTACACATGATCTTTGTCCCTAGGGAACTCAGTGTAAAGGCGAGACCAGTATTTGCTAAACCAGAAGTCCATGAAGGAGGCATCAGGTTGAGTTGACTCACCACTGTGCCTAGCATAATGCACTCAATAAAAAGAGAACCAACGACTGTAAACACAAGTGGTAAGATGGAAGTATGAGCCAAATGCTGTGAGGGAAACACAAGACGGAACACCTAATTCCTTTCAGGGGCGGAGGGAGGGACAGTTCCACAGAAGTAGTCTTTTAGACAGGGGAGGGGTATCGGGGTGTAAGGTCAGCATGGGCAGACAGATGGGGCTGGGGCAGAGGGGCGGGCATAGAGGTTGATGTGTGGGGCGGCTCAGAAGCTTCGTGGTATAGTGAGGCTGGAGCCATCAAACGCCAGGGCTGGAGAGGAAAGTTGGGTCTATATTATGAAGGAATGCCACGCTAAGGAGTTTGATATTTAGATATTAGGCAAAAGGGAACCATTGACGCTCTCTGATTAAGGGAGTAAACGGTTCCCAGCTGAACTGGAAAGATTAGCAAGAGGCAGCTGAATCGGTTCAGGGAAGAGATTCTAAGACCTGAACGAGGACAGTGACAAATGAGTTGGGAAGTGAGGGGTCAGTTGGTAGCACTTTGGTGAAAACACAACCAGTAACGAGGCTTGACAACCACGTGCAGATGGATGGGCAGAGGACGCAGAAATGAGGCTCCTGCATTTCTCTCTTGGATGCACAGGGTCGGGGGGGATGTTAATAGCCAGGAAACGGAAAAACAGGAGTCAGAACAGGTTTGTTTGGTTGTACCCCAGGGACACAGGGGCCTCAAGAAGCCCAGTGGATTACAGTGAACCCAGGACAAAGGCGCTTTGCACCCCTTCCCCAACCTGAGGAGCAGAATCCACTGAAGGAAGTAACTTTCCAGAAGCAGAACTGTTTGGCAAAGGGCCTCAACATAGACAGCAACACAGATGAATGCTGATCAACCTGTCTGCACACAACAGGCAGCACTGTCCCGGAATCCCTCCGCCCAGCATGGCCTCCAGCTCCATGCACCTCAGGCGCCAAGGCAGAATGGAGAAGAGTCTACTCACTCACACGACTGCCGGCCTCCAGGCTCACCCGGGAGAGGGCGAGAGAAGTAGCCTGGCCTACTGGGGGACACCGTTGTGCTTTGCTTTTCTAAGGGACAACACACTCAGAGGCGAACCACGCAGGTTTGTCAGCAAGGAGGGGACCACAGCCAGGGGGATGCTAGGAGACTTCCCTGCCCATGTGGGGTCTGCCACGGCCCGGCCTCTGGGGCATGCTGTTAGGAGTGCTGGTGTCCAGTCACTGGGGCCTCTTCAGGAGCCACAGCCGACTGCCCTTCAGTTTCACGTCCGTGGTGGACACTCATGTTCTGTTTTCCTATCCCTGCACTGGTGGCGTGCTTGGCCCCAGGGACAAGGCTGGGCTCTGTCCAGCCTAGGATCACATTTCAGCTGGAGGAAGGGGATCGCAGACCTGGTGCGATTGGTTTCCACTGTGACCTGGGAGTCGCTGCAGCCTGACCGTGCAGGTCTTCCAGTGAGAGGTCACTACAGGACACCCGGGAGTGAAAACAAAGTCCTGTCTTCAAGGAATGCCCGATAAGGGAGGTTAAAGCAGCAGCACTTTCTTGGCACAGATCAGGGGGAACACAGACCAGAGTTCCTCTCTGCTCCTGTGTCCTGGCAGCGGTCCCCCTGGGTGTGCGGGGCACGAGGCGAAGGGCACCTCTGCGTCTGCTTCAGCCTCTGAACCAGACCAGCCTCAGCCCCCAGGGCAGACTCCTGCGCCCTTCTGCACGGAGAAGCCTGCTGCCCACACCGGTGCCTGTTGGCAGCGGGCTGTGATTTGCGGGAACTCTCTCCTTCCCCACTGCCCTCCCCATCACTCCACACGACAGGAGTAAGACTTATTCAAGCAGAATCACAAGAGCACAGGGTGGGGCTGAGGGTGACTACTCAGTGCATGGGAGGCTGGGGGTTTGGGGGGGCCATTCCAGGGGCGCTGCCCCTCGGTGCTTCAGATGTGGTTTCAGATTCAAGGCTCTGTTAGTGCCTGGTTGTCTGGCTCTGGGACAGGGCACACATTACAGGCGGCGGGATGAGGTCAGAGATTATACATAGTGTATGGCCCTGGAGAGAACAAGTCTGTGGGGCCCCTGAGCCTTGGGCTGGCTTTATCGGCTCCACGGTCTAGCCCAGCAGTCCAGGCCTGCATGAACCTGTGCCCAGGGCATTCTGACTCTCACACTGCCAAACAAGGTCACCGCGGTTCTGAATTCGCCCGCAGCCGTTATGCCTGCTAAGTGCGCGGAAAGGATATTCTCAGGTAAGAGAAACAAGTGCTAACAGAAACCCACAGTGGTCTAGAAAGCTGACCTGTGATTGCTCAAGAGAGCCTGTGACAACCCCCCAGGTAGGTCTGACTGCTTATTACTCAGCTGCTGTCATGGGAAGCAGGCATCTGCAGGGAGAGGAAAGTGCTTTGCCATCAGTTTGTCGTCGCCCATCACAGAGCCCTCTGCGCAGCCTCACTGCGTAGGAGACAGAACTGAGCGGCGCAGGGGATGCAACTCATCCTGGGCACAGGATGCCCGAGGGCACACAGGCACCTCCGTTCTGACTTTTCAGTCTCATTTGAGGCATTCTCAGAACTGTACGAGCCCCAAAGGAAATGCCACTGCTGGTTTCACACCCGATTGTGATCTAGCAGGACAAAACCCTCCAACTGAAATCCTAAGGGGCTTTGATTAAGAACGTGACACAATCCCAGGCTATCAGTTCTCTCCTCAGCCCAGATATCTCACACCCCTACCCTGGGGTCTGTCCTGATGTCCTCAGATACTCAACTCTGCCCCTAGAGTGCCCTGTTCGTATGTATCTCTAAGGAGCACACGCTGCACTGAATTCCAGAAGGCTCTGTCTGAGCACCTGTCTCCCCACTTAGCTGGGGCTCAGACTTATTTCTCCCTTGCTCTAGCTCGGTCCTAGCAGAAGGTGCTGACCAAGGAGGGAAACAGAAGCATTTCAGTGAGCTGCCCTGGCCAACTCAGAGCGTCTTATTTTTAGGGAAAGGGAGGAAATTCTATAAATCTCACTGGGACCTTTGCTCCAAAGTAGTTAAACGTATAGAAAGCCATGTGCTTTGCCTCTTAGAGACGGAGTCCAGAGGGAAAAGAAAAATCCTGAAATATAAGTTGAAATTCTCTGCATGGGAAAGGGCTCCGGGAGAGCTGGTTAGAGAGGCTTTCCCCGGGCGTGCATCCAAGCGCACGCGGACTGTGAGAAGTGGCCAAACAGGTCCAAGGTTACAGAGCCAAGCATGGCCATGGTCAGCTTCTGCTCTAAGGGTAAGTTGTTAGCTTCATTAAAAAATAAATAAATAAATAAATAAAGCGCCCTGGCCGGTTTGGCTCACCGGTTAGAGCGTTGGCCAGAGAGACCGGGGTTCGGTTCCCGCTATGGGCACGTACCTCGGTTGCAGTTTGTCCCCGGCCCTGGTTGGGTCATGCAGGAGGCAGCCACTCAATGTGTCCCTTTCATGTCGATGTTCCCCCCCCTCCCCCATCTGAACTAAAAATGGAAAAATGTCCTTAGATGAGTAAATAAATAAATAAATAAATAAAATAAAGCAAAAGCAAGAAAAGTCACCCTGTGACTCCTGACTTGGAAATACTCACAGGTCAGGGTTTGGCTTTGGAGTTCCTCAGCCGCCTATGCCAGTGTGTAACTTGGGCAGCCAACTTAACAAACAAGCCTACACAGTGAAGATCTCAAGTTCACACAGGGCAGAGGCTCAGATACCCAAATGCCAAATACAGTTAGAGGCTCATTATTCATTAGCTCATTGAGCACCGTATTTAATAGCTGCTATGCCTTTTGTCATGTAAGCGCAGAAGGGCAGAGTTATTTTATCCTCTCTGGTTGCCTGAAAGGTTCATTGATGTGGCTGGGTAATCAGGGTTACTTAAAATGCCCACATGGTTTCAGAGAGGATTCCCAAGTGGCTGAAGACAAAGAAAATTCAGAAACCGTATTTATTTTGTGTCCACCTCGAGCTACTCCAAGAGTCATAAAACAGAATGACCTGGGTCTTACTGCTCAGATCACTGGAACCAGTGACTTCCGAAAGAAATCAACGAAACTGAGTTGAGAGCTGGCTCCTTGAACAAGAATGAACCTATGAGTCTATTCAGTGGCTATTTTGAATGTATTTTTCAAGACTCTTTATCACGGAAAAGTTCAAGCATTCCAGAAGTCCAGGACTGCCACAGCGCCCACACGGCCTCTGCGGCTGTCAAGCACGCCTAACCCTGTCTCACCTGTACACTGCTCCCTTCCTGGGCCATCTGCTATGCTCACTGCAACATTATTTCCAATAGCCAAGATATAGAAGTAACCCAAGTGCCCATCAATAGACAAGTGGATAAAAAACCTGTGGTACATTTATACAATGGAATACTATGCGGTCATAAAAAATGAAATCTTACCAACTGTAACAACACGGACTACAGAGTATTAGGCTAAGTGAATAAGTCAGACAGAGAAAG